TGATGTTTTGAATCCCGGGGGAATGTGCATGTAGATCTCATCATGCAAGTCACCGTGGAGGAAAGCATTCTTGACATCAAATTGCAGCAAAGGCCAATCAAAGTGAGATGCCAAGGATAGTAGGATACGGACAGTATTGAGCTTGTCTACAGGAGTAAAGGTCTCTTAATAGTCAATCTCATACGTCATGGTATATCTTTTAGCCACAAGACGAGCTTTGTACCATTCAAGAGATCCATCAACATTGTATTTGACACTAAAGATCCACCTGCAACCAACAACATGCCTCCCAACAGGTTTAGTCACAATATCCCAAGTATGGTTCTCTTCAAGAGCTCTAATTTCCTTTTGCATAACATCCCTTCATTCTTTCTTTCCTAATTCTCCAAAAACAAAATTGGATATGAGAATTTGATTAAGTCTTTGAACAAACAAGGCATGTGAAGGAGAGAAGTTATCAATGGTAACAAAATGAACGAGGATATAGAGGTGTTTTGATACACTGACGTACACCTTTGCGTAAAGCAATTGGAGGAGACGGCGGTGGAGAAGAAGAGACATTACCCGGGCCAACTGATTGGTCATACGTCGACAATAGAGTGAACATGTGTGTCATTGGTAAGGGAGAAGGTGGGTCATGAGTGGAGGATTTAATAGGTGTAGGAATGGGATGGTATGGTGGTGAATTTGATTCAGGTTCAAGTGATGTTGAAGATGTTGGGAAGTAGGTGAGATCGACGAGATATCTAAAGAAGGTGATGGGTGATCAGGTGGTGATGGTGATGGGATGTCTAGTGATAAAGGCTTAGAAGAGTAGGCTTAGAAGAGTAGGAGATTGTATGTGTTGGAGAAGATGTAAATGTATAGGTAAGAAGGGATGGAGGATGTGGAGAAATAGGAAGGTAAAAAGGTGCGTCTTCGTGAAAGGTAACATCTACATTGGTGTAAGTCATTCTGGTTATAGGATTATAGCACTTATATCCTTTCTGAGTTGGAGAATAACCCAGAAAGATACGCTTAATAGATTGTGGGTCCAATTTCACCCAATGAGGTGAGGAATATGAACAAATGCAATACACCCAAACACCTGTAGATCAAGATCAGAAGAAATTATGGTTTGAGGAAAGATACGACGGAGAGATTCAAGGGGTGACTTATTTTGGAGTACGCGACTAGAAAGTTTATTGATGAGATGACATGTTGTGAGTGTGGCTTTCCCCAGTGGTGTTTAGACATATTTGATTGAAACAATAAAGCCCGACTAACTTCAAGGAGATGGTGATTTTTTCTTTCTGTTGTGCCAATCTGTTGAGGTGTGTATGGACAAGAACACTCGTCAACAATACCTTTTGAGAGGAAATAAAAGGAAACAATTTGATTGAAGTGTTCAAGAACATTATCTGTACCACTGTACGGAAGCGTTTTATAGTGGTGGAGAACTGATTATGAATCATATTGCAAAAGATAGGGATGATGGAACTCACATCACTCCTTTTTTAGTAGAAAAACCTACATAAAACGTGTACAATCATCAATAAATGTAACATACCACCGGGCACCAGATATATTAGTAATTGGAGCAGGGCCCCAAACATCACTATGTATAATATCAAATGGAGAACAACTGATCCTATTACTTCAGGAAAAAGATACACGAGATTGTTTAGCAAGTTCAGAGGCATTACATTGAAATGTAGAAACATCAACACTATTGAAAAGAATAGGGAATATGGTTTTTAGAAAATGAAAAGATGGATGACCAAGTCGCATGTGATGAAGCCAAATAGTGTTGGTATTGGGAGTGATTGAGGTAAGAGCTTATTGTGAAGGTTTGGAGACAAACGGTGCCTCAAGGTAGTACAAACCATCTCTTTGCTTAATAATTCCAATCGTCTTCCCCGTGCATAGGTCCTGTAATAAACAGTGAGAAGGGAAGAAAATGACAGCACAATTATGATCAACAGTGAGTTTGTAAAAGATGCAAGGTTCATAGCCAGGTTTGGGACATGTAGGGTGTTTTTCAGATTTAATTTATCAGAAAAACTACTGTACCAAGTCTTGCAACCTTTGTAGGTGTCCCATCAGCAGTGGTAATGTGTGTGGATGTAGATCACGGACGATAATTAGAGAGTAAAGAGGGTACATTAGTCCTATGTTATTTACTCGCTACTCGGTAGCAACTCGGTCAAGGGCCAAGTAGCGAGTAGGACCGATTACTCGGGATTACTCGGTGATTACTCGGCCTTGTATTAATTAAATATAATAATATAGGTGCCCTATATTACAGAAATATAGTAGTCTTAAAATAGTCTTTAAATTGTCTTAAAATGCATAGAAGTGAATAAAAGGATAGAAATCCTATTATCCTAATGATGGAGTAGCAAAAGTCATAAAACGAAAGTGATGAAGCAGTCAATCATCTAATAAAACCAGATTAGATGTGTATTTTTCATGGAGACTATAATAGTATGCACCTTGAAACTTAGTACATAAAACCAGATTAAAAAAAGAACAGGTTTGACTGCCTAATAATGAACGAGAAAAATAATTTGGAATAGGATATAGTATCTCAACTAGATAGAAATGTCACACCATTCAGCTTAGCAACTCCAAACAAAATTGTACATCAAAATAACTTACATTCTGTGGGGAAAAAATTGTAGCTAAGGCTTCCTAAGTGTATAAATTATAGTAAGCTTAAAACTTACAACATGTCAGCATGTTTTGGATTGTAGAGACATTGTAAGAGCTTGTTAATAAAATGATACACTTTTGGTTACTACTACTAGAACAAGAAACGAGACAGCGACAGGGGAGGGGAATATACGAAGCTCCAAACACAGACACTGCCAACTTGCCAAGGAAAAATTAATATAAAAATCAATGCTTAATACATAGAATAAAAGGAACTTAATGCCTCACTAACATAATAACTAAGGAACTTAGTAGTAGGGAATTCAATGGTCAACAATTTCGGCTGCAGCCGTTTGAATAATCCCAATTTAATTTTTTTTAACAAGAGGAAGAAGAAACGAGGGAACAAATTACATGTAGCACCTCGCAGCAACCCTGTAACACTCGCAGGTGACTCCCAGCAGCACTGTAGATTCGTAGAACTGGCAGCTTCTAGTAGTCGCAACTCCAAACAATGAAGCAGCACTGGTCGAAGCCCCAAAAGATGACCGACACAGCCAGTCGCAACTCCTAAGGATGTAGCAGCACTGGTCGAAGCCCCAAAATATGACTGCTTAAAATAGTTTTAGGTTTTGAGTGCAGTTTTTTTAATACACCGAGTAGTAGCGAGTAACTCGCCCATTTGACCAACTCACCGAGTTGACTAACTCGCCGAGTACTCGGCGAGTAACTCGGATAATTAACTCGGGCCGAGTAAAGGTGCTACTCTGCAAGGTAGGAGGCCGAGTAGGGAGTACTCGCCGAGTACTCGCCGAGTACTCGCCGATTAAATAACCCAGCAACAGTCATATGAGATGTAGCACCCGAGTGTAATATCCATTTGAATTGTACTCTGTTCTAACGCATTAAGACAAAACATAGTAGAGGTTTTACCTTGCAAGGCCAAAGAGTTATGACATTTGAGTTATTAAGAGACTGCAGCATCATACGGAGTTGCTGCATTTCCTCATGGGAAATGGGAGAAAGATTAGTAGAGCTCTCAACAATAGTGAGAGTGGCTGAGTTAGCACTAGTTCCACGTCTGTCCTGGCCTTTTCTTTCTTTCTGCAAATGAGGATAAAGTTTCCAGGCTTCCAGCATATATCCACATTATGATTAGACCGCTTGCAATAATCACACCATCTTCCTCCCTTACTATCCTTAGTTTGCTTAACATTTGAAGAAGTAGATATGGCAGTAAGGGTCATACTGTCAATTAGCTTTGTATTCATCGATATATTGCGCCTACTCTCTTCATGTTTGATAGTGGCAATGGCAGAGGATAGGGAAGGCAGAGGAGCAGAATTTGAGCTCGAGTTTGATCGTATTCTGGAATTAAACCAGACAAGAAGCAATATAGACGCTGATAATTTATATAATTCTTGTGAAGAGTTGCATTTGCAGCACTCGACCACTTCATTGTTTGATACCGGTCAAGTTTAGACCAACGTCGTTGAAGGTTAATAGCATATTTTGTGACAGATTATGAATCTTGCTTAAGATTCGTTGTTTGGAGCCATAAGTCATATACAAAAGCGCCATTTTTAGCAACGGAGTAGGCCTGCTTTATGAAATCCCAGATTTGTTTAGCCGAGTCCATGTATAAACATTACTGCTAATGTTTGGATACATGGAGTCCCATAACCAGACCCGTATGTTGGCATTAGTTTTCTCCCAAATAGCAGCATCAATATCTCTTTCTTCTGGTGTAGAGAGAGTGAGATAAACTTCAAGATCTTTGCCATGTAGGAGAGTGTAAACCAGCTTTGACCATCCAAGATAGTTCCTGCCATTGAGACGTAAGATGGCGGGATACAAGGGAGATCAAATTTTATGGTCTCGAAGAGCAAACTCATTTGCAGTAACAGCTTAAACGATGGTTGAGTGGTCAAGGTGACTTGAGGTTGTTTCAATTTTTTTAGACAAGAAGTACAGAGCTATATATACTTACTAAAGCCTGGAAGTGTCTATTACAACTGAAAAGACTCATAATTACCGTAATAATAAGGAAAGTAAATCATAGACAAATGATGTCTCTTCGTTTTATCAACACCATTAATTAGACCTTTCTATAGAATTTCACCTTAAGGTTTTCCCTCTTGTACCATATTATGCGTTGCAAAAGTAGGGTTTGTACAACTCAACTTAATAATCCAAGATACAATCTAAAATGACCGTTAAATTGCTTACAAAATCATAAACATTTACTCTGTATTTTACACTACTTAAGGATCTTTGACAAATTGAATACAAATGTAAGTAAAGTCAAATAAGAGTAGAATTACCCCATTTTTGGTACAAAGTTGTGACAGTATTTAATCATTTACCTCGTGCGATAAGTTGCTGCCCTCACTTGACATGTAGAATACTCTCTTTATTTTTGTAGGAAGCGCAGGGCATGATGTTATTCCCTATCCAGATGCATTTAACCAATCAAATGAGTTAGCATATATCAAATATAGCATGTAACTTAAGAAGCATGTATAGAGCTTAGCAAATTGAACTGAGAATTTCAAAAGATTGGCGCGTGTGCATTGTTATACAATCATACTACTGAGATGAGTTTGAAAGATTGAAAGCCTGTTTTGTACTCCAGAAGAGAAGAGAGCAGGAAGAAGATATTGTAGGGCCAAAAAGATCAAGACCAACAACAAGGCATTGAAGGATCAACCTTCTTTACCTCTTTTGAAAACAAGAAAAAGGGGAGGCCATGGTGTGATCACGGTAAGAAAGCAGGCCACACCAAAGAAACATGCTGGGATTTGCATGGTAAGCCTAAAGACTTCAAATCAAGCAATGGGAAAGGAGCCTATGTAGCTGCTAGAGATAAGGAAGAAAAGGGCACATCCAACTCTGATATGTTTACCAATGAGAAGATTGAGGTCCTTTAACACCTAATATGTCACAGCAAAGGGCCCACACCACCAACTAGCTTGACTGCTCAAACAAGTAATGCCTTAACAATCCTAGTTGCACAGAGTCAGCCTTATTGGATTGTTGATTCAGGGGCATCAGATCATATGACTCTGGAGACAATAAGTTTTTTGTTGAATTTGTTCCCATGAAGACTAATGTGATTGTGAAGATTACTGATGGAACTACTAAGTTTTTTGTTCAGAAAGTTTCTGATAAGATAGTGTTTAACAATGTGTTATATGTCCCAGATTTAGAGTTTAATCTCTTATCGGTTAGTAAAGTGAACAATGATACACATGACCTAACTAAATTCTCTTCTCAATTATGTGAATTTCAGGATTTGGATTCAGGGAGGATGATTGATAGTGCTAAGCAAAGTGGTGGACTATATCTTCTGGAACATTCACCACATCCTACCAACAAGTGAGAGAACTCAACCGTAAGTCCTTCGGAAGTCTTAGTAAGAGCCAATTTGATAATCAAAGTTAGCTATGCATTCTCGCCTTGGTCATCCTAATGTCTTGTACTTAGAAAAACTATTTCCTTCATTATTCATTAATAAAAGTTCTTCATTTGATTGTGAAATCTGTCAGCTTGCTAAACATACTAAAAATCACTATCCTAGCCTACCTTACAAACCATCCAAACCCATATCTCTCATTCACACTGATGTTTGGGGCCCATCCAAAATCAAATATCTCATTGGTTCAAGATAGTTTGTTCTGTTTATTGATGATCATACACGCTTAACATGGGTTTTCCTCATCAAAGAAAAGTCAGAAGTCAACATTATCTTTCAAAATTCTATTCTATGAACAAATCCCAGTTCCAAACCAAGATTCAAATTTTTAAAATTGACAATGCCAAAGAATATTTTTCATCCAATTTAGGAGAATTTCTGTCCAAAAAAGGGATTATATACATTAGCTCATGTGTTGACACCCCACAACAAAATGGGGTAGCAGAGAGGAAGAATAGACACTTGTTGAAAGTTGCTAGAGCCCTTATGTTCACCACTCACACTCCTAAAGACTATTGGGGAGAGGTTGTCCTGACTGAAGCTTACCTCATTAACATGATGCCCTCCAAAGTTCATCAATTTTTTTTAATATTGAAAGAAAGTTTTATTAATGATGAAACCAAAAGTTACAAGATTGAAAAGAAAGATAAAAAGAAGAAAGGAAAACAACAAACAATGAAAAGAAAGAAAGGGAAAGGGAAAATAAAAAGGGAAAAAACTAGCCCAACCCAAAGTACAATATAAGGTCCCTGCTTAGATAACCCTGATTACTTCATCATAGAATCAAGATTTCATTCGTGTTTGAGATCTAGTCCTCATCAATTTAAAACACCATACCCAATCCTCTCTAATCTACATCCTCACATCCCTCTAACCAATCTCTCACCAATTTAAAACATCATACCAATTTCACATCCATTCTACACATAGGTCAAAGTTGGAACCCAAATTCTTATCTTGTTTGTTCATAGGATATGCTGGAAACCATAAAGGATATAAATGTTATTCACCTACCACCAAAAAGGTCTACAACACCATGGATGTTACCTTTTTTGAAAATCAGCCTTTCTAATCTAAAGCTGAATTTCAGGGGGAAATCTGTCAATCAGGGAATCAGTAGAAAAATATCTTTGTATCTTATTGAATCTTTGTAATTATAGGAAGATTTTATTAGGCATTGAGTGCAGGGATATCTTGCATTAATTGTAAGAATCCCTTGATTTGTTTCCTTTTACATATATTCCCATGTTGCCTATATAAGTGTAAATAAAGTGCTGAGCAGGGCAGCTCAAGTTTTCCAGCATTCCCAATTCTTAGTTTCTGATTTTACTTAGTTCCTGATTTTATCATTTCTGGTAAAATTAGTGACATGGTATCAGAGCCATAAGCATTTTTTTTCAGCAAACCCTAAAATTCAGTTGGGTTTGTTCTTGGAGTTCTTGCTCGACGTCTCATTTTTTTTTAAACACAAACCCTGGGGTTTCCTCTCAGATTCTATCATCTCAGCACTTAGTTCCAGCCATCTTCTATCTCAGATCAACATGTTTCCTTCTCAGATTTATTCTGTTCTCTTGTTATCATGGATAAATTAGAAAACTTGTGTGTTCGATTTGATGGCAAGAATTATGTTACTTGGGCGTTTAAATTTGAAACCTTTCTGCCACTCAGAATGACACTTGGGAGGTGAAAGATGCTCACTTCTTGATGATAAATGTGACGTGAAATTCTCTTGTGATGGTTGTCTTGTGCAGGATCAAGTGTCAGGGGAGCTCATAGCGAAGGGGCCTAGGATTGGATGTCTTTTTCCATTACACTTTCCTAGATGTAACTCAGTTTCTGCTTTTGCATGTAATAAAAATTCATGATTGGTGTGGCATAGGAGACTTGGCCACCCGAATCCTCGAGTTCTTTCTCATTTGTTACGTCTTGGTCTTTTGAGTAATAAAGAGAATATGTTTTCTCATTTTGATTGTGAATCATGCAAACTAGGCAAAAGCAAAGTTCTTACTTTTCCATCTAATGGTAGTTGTGCCTCCCATTGTTTTGAGCTCATTCATAGTGATGTTTGGGGAATTTCTCCTGTTGTGTCTCATTCTCATCACAAATACTTTGTTACCTTTATTGAAGATTATAGTCGTTACACTTGGATATATTTTCTTTGATAGAAGGCTGATGTTTTCGGAACATCTCAAAATTTTCTTGCCCTTGTAGAAACTCAATTTTCCACAAGCATCAAAGTTCATCATACTGATTCTGGTGGGGAGTATATGTCTCATGAACTTCAAACATTTCTTGAATCCAAGGGAATCCTATCTCAACGATCATGTCCTTATACTCCTCAACAAAATGGTGTTGCGGAACGAAAAAATCGCCATCTTCTTGATATCGTTCGGACCTTACTTATAGAATCCAAAGTTCCTACTCGATTTTGGGTTGAAGCTTTGTCTACAGCAGTTTACCTAATAACCCGACTTCCATCACAGGTCTTGGAGTTTGAATCACCTTATTTCCGGCTCCATAAACGTCATCCAGTGTACACTAATCTTCACCATTTTGGTTGTGTGTGTTTTGTTCATCTTCCGCCCACAGAACGTCATAAACTTTCTGCCCAATCTGCTCGTTGTGTGTTTCTAGGATATATCATTAGTCAAAAGGGATTCATGTGTTTTGATCCGCAAGAAAACAAGTTGCAAGTCTCCAGGAATGTTATATTCTTTGAAAATAAGTATTTCTATCATACTTATTTTTCCTAATAACTCATCTTCTGTCATATTACCTACGTTCGAAAGTGTCTCTAGTCCTACTAGCTCTAGGTTCAAAGGAATAGTGTATGCTAGACGCCGTCCGCCAGACTCTTTGTCACCTCCTTCCCTGCCATCAGATCCTGTGCCAGAGCTTCCTCTCAAGGATACGAGCACTGTGGAGATTCTTCTTCGTCGCTCTACACATCGTTCAGTACCACCAGATCGGTATGGATTTTCATCCTCTTCTCATGCTCTTGCTGCTACAGTAGCATCTGTCGTTACTCCCTCATGTTATTCACAGGCTGCCAAACATAAGTGTTGGCAAGAAGCAATGCAGGAAGAATTGCGGGCTCTGGAAATTAATCAGACATGGGATGTTGTGTCATGTCCTCCTAATATCACTCCTCTTGGATGCAAGTGGGTGTATTCGGTCAAAGTTAGATCTGATGGCAGTATTGATCGTTATAAAGCACGTTTGGTGGCACTCGGTAATCATCAAGAATATGGAGTCAATTACAAACTTTTTTAAAGCGAAAAGCGTTCAAAAGCGATGACCCCGAGCTTTGCTTCAAAGCGAAAGCGTTAAGCGAAGCGAAGCTTTCTCACAAAAAGTGATGATTAAAAAAATTAAAGAAAATATAATATATAATGTATACTTATGTCATAAATGCATAAGTAGTCATAAACGTCAATCAAAATAATACTAGTTCAGCATAAAGTTTCAAAACATTCATCACAAAATCACACAAAAACACATAATTAATCATAAAAGTCATAAAGGAAATACTAGTGTGGCGTAAAGAAAAAAAATTCATCACACAATTTCATAGTTTCATTAAAAACGGTTCTTAGAATCTTCCTCATTCCAAAACTAATATATACTGTCTTAAGCAAAACTAAACAAGTGTATATATTTATACAAGAGTGCATAAACAAGTGTAAATATTTATATATTATTTTACATTAACTAATATATACTGTCTTAAGCAAAACTAAATAACTGTATTTATCCCTTAACATCACAAAGAGGAGAATATGGCTGCACAAATACAAGGTCACACACATTGAGTAATTTTTACAGGGGAGATTGGGAGATTATCAGAAGAATGAACTAGAATGAAATAATAAGTAATAGCAGACTATAAGAAAATTTCTTCTAAACTGGAAATAGTTCCAGAATCGGCAGAGCTGCAATTAAACTGCAATTAACTAGTTTCTAAAACAAATAATA